GAGCAAAATGCCTCCGTTTTACTGTGCAAACATGCTGTACCTTGAGTCACCAAGAAAAGAAAGTGGTGTGTGGTGCATTTCTTGCTGGACCCCAGAACATCTTTTGTAAGACTGTATTCCTAGGTTGAGAAAAACCGAACAAGGTTATCTTTACCCGTCTTTGCTAGTCTAAGATTATGTTCACATATGTTTTATCCTGATATATTTATCACTTTTTTTTTTTTTGAGTCGGAGTCTCACTCTGTCGCCCAGAACAGAATGCAGTGGCATGCTCACAGTCACCGCAGCCTGGACCTACTGGGCTCAGGTGATCCCGCCTCAGCCTTCCAAGTAGCTGGTACTACAGGCATGTGCTACCACACCCGGCTAATTTTATTGTCAAGATGAGGTCTCGTCTTGTTGCCCAGGCTGGACTCGAACCCGTGGGCTCAGGCAGTCCTCTCACCTCAGCCTCCCATAGTGTTGGGATGACAGGCGTGAGCTCCCGTGCCTGGCTACATTCATTTCCTTTAATAAAAATCAAGTCCTCACTGCCACTGCAGGACCACCACATCATCTCCAAACTGCTGTCTGTGATTAAACATTCCCTCTGCCCAGTTACTTTATTACCCAGGGCTACTTTTGTGCAGGAGCATGCCAGAACGCCATTCTAGAACCTCTCTCTCCCGATTACACAAACCTGAACGACCTTCGAGAACTTTGCTTTTAAAAGGTAGTCATCACCAGCATAGCAAAAGACGTGTTGTGTTCAGATCTATACTGATGGCAGTTAATGTTCAAATGACGCATGTGTTCACTTAAAAATGTGTATGTGTTAACAGCAGCCTTGGTCGTTACTGGATTGTAGCTAATCATGACGCGAGTGTGCCGGTTTCTCCACCTCCCCCGGAATGTGGGAGGAGGAGGCTGTCCCCCAACTTGCTTCTTCTCATCTCTCTTTAATCACGTGGACTGCAGGACTTTAATCACGTGGACTGCAGCTCACAGCCTGCAGCACAGCTACAGTCCAGAGGCGAAATCTTGTGGCTTAAACGATTGTGTATCAGCTAAGAGAGCTATGGAAAGAAGTTTATTTATGCGAAAGCATGAACTTCATTGATGAATATTAAATATTATTTGTTGAAATATTACTAGACCAATAGGCTTGAAAAATGAGCACTGGCCTTCTAAAAATTAATCCTTATGTGAGTGGTGTAGGTTTATGGAAAGGAGTGCCGGCCAACCGTTCGTTTTTAAAAACAAAGAGTTGTGAGCTCATCCATGTGCACCTAACTATGACCTTAGTTTTTATTGATATCAGAAATAGCACTCAGGACTTCTAGGTTTTTTACAATTTGCTTGTCAAGAAGTTGGACAACAGCTCTTAGCTCTTAGTCGAAACATATTCAGAGGTCACATATAACTCATGTGATATTTATACTAACAAGAAAGAAACTTTCTCTCACATAAACTTTATTACTTAAGAATGTCATTGGCTTTTTTCTCTAAGTAACTTTTTCTTTTTTTGAGTTGGAGTCTCACTCCAATTGCCCAGGCTGGAGTGCAGTGGCACCCAGCATCGACCTGCTGGGCTCTAGTGATCCTTCCACCTCAGCCTTCCAAGTAGGCAAAACTATAGGTACATGCTACCATGCCTGGCTAATTTTTTTTAAAAAAATTTATTGTAGAGACGAAGTCTCACCAAGTTGCCCAGGCTGGTCTTGAACCTGCGGGTTCAGGCAATCTACTAGCCTCGGCCTCCCAAAGTGCTGGGATGACAGGCTAAGCCACTGAGCCAGCCAAAGTAATTTTTTCTTTAGCATTTTCTTTTTAAAAAATGCTTTTTAACTAGAGCTGAGTTTGCACGTGGAATTGCGTGTGGAGGGGCCGCAGTGCTCTATTCTGCAAAATAGCATTTCATGCCAAATACTGAGTTGTCTCAAAAATTCCCTCTTTGGGATTAGCAGTTGATTCTCAAAAGCCAGGGTGTGTACTCAACCTTACTGCCCAAAGGGGTTCACCCGGCAGGATTTGCTCCCACACGTAGGTGGCACAGTAACCCTCTGTTCTCTATGTTTGGCGTGCTGGTGAGTAACTGATGACGCAGTGACATCCACATGGCTGAAGCGAGCTCTGTCTTGCTTTCTTGTCATTTCAGTTTATGAATACTGGTATTAGTAGCTGCCCCATTTGTCTCATCGCTTCTTCTGTCTGTGTAAGAGATTTTTTCCTTTTAGGCTTAAATACCACCTGGAGAGAGAAGCTTTTTAAGGCCTGGGAGACTGGCCAGTGCCCTTTGTCCCTTGTTCACCTACTAAAAGGTAGCATTGTCAGCCGGACTCAGCAGGGTCCCAGCTCCCCATAAACGTGGCTCAATAGAGTCCGAAAGAATAATTGAATTGTACAATGCATCATTTTTCAGCAACAGTTCCAAGTGGATTGTACTTCATTTCCAGAGCACCAACAGTTTTCCCCCCTCATTTTAGGATATTTAAAGACAGCAAATATTTAAACATGACAAATAAAATATTTAAGCCCAACTCTGTCTTTCCGTACTGGACTGTGAGCTACTTAAGGACAGAGGCACACCTATTTTACCCTCCACTGAATGCCTAGTACTCGCTGTAGTGTCTGGCATGTACTGGGTCTGTATGCCTCAGAAGTATAATGAGGGTGATTTAGCTGTCACCCTGGAATAACTCATTTCCAAAGATTTTGGCTACTTCTGGGTACATCTTTGTGACCTGGATTTGCAGAAACTGTGAGCTTTCTTAACTCTGTAACTAACTGCAGGATGCCATACACAACAGTACCTCAGAAATACTTATTTATAATGGGGAAAAAAGACTCTTATTTTTTTAAATGATGCATTTTTTTTTTTTTTTGGCATTTCTATAAGGAACAAGCCGGGTATGGTGGCTCATGCCTGTAATCCTAGCACTTTGGGAAGCCAAGGTAGAAGGATCGCTTGAGCCCTGTAGCTTGAGACCAGCCTGGGCAACATAGTGAGACCCTGTCTCTATTTTAAAATAGAAAAAAGGAAAGTGATAATATTTAATTTTATATATGTATATAAGAAATTTATATATAGTTTGCCGGGCTCAGTGGCTCAGCCTGTAATCCCGTGCTTTGGGAGGCCAAGGTGAGTGAATTGCCTGAGCCTGCGGGTTCAACACCCGCCTGGGCAACTTGGCGAGACCTCATCTCTACAATAAATAAATAAATAAATAAATTAGCTGGGCGTGGTAGTTCCAGCTACTTGGAAGGCTGAGGCAAAAGGATCACTGGAGCCCAGCAGGTTGAGGCTGCGGTGCCTGGGAGCGTGCCACTGCACTCCAGTCTGGGCGACAGTGAGACTCCAACTCAAAAAAAAAAAAGAACTTTATATATATTTTTTATGTTTTTTAAATGTTTAAATTTAAATTTTTATTTTTTTGAGTCAGAGTCTCACTCTGTTGCCCAGGCTTGAGGGCAGTGGCACGCTCATGGCCACCTCAGTATTGACCTGCTGGGGTCCGGTGATCCTTTCACCTCAGTCTTCAAAGTAGCCGAATTACAGGCGAGTGCCACCACGTCGGACTAATTTTTTTTTTCTTCGATTTATTATAGAGACAAGGTCTCACCATGTTGCCCAGGCTGGTCTCGAACCCATGGGCTCAGGCATTCCTCTTGCCTTGGCCTACCAAAGTGCTGGGATGACAGGCTTGAGCCACCACGCCCAGCCAGAAATTTATATATTTAATCAACACACAATAACCATCAACTTAATGATCACAGATATGTATTGAGGGGTTTTCATGTTTGTATCTGACTGTTATATTCTCCTCTGTCCCACTTTTGTCTGCCAAGGAAGTTTGTATTTATCTTCAAGACAAGACCTGCTGTCATCTACTTTGCCAGGCCTCCCCTGGCCCCTGGCCCTGTCCCCACCACAAGGGTTGACTTCCCTTCCTTTAAGCTACCAGTGAGCTTCATCCACACCTCTTTTGTAGCAGATGACAGGGTACATGCTGCATGTTACATGTAGCCTTGGTTTTTTTGTTTCTTGTTCTAAACAATGAGCACTTTGAGGGTAGGAACTGTGTCCTGCTTATCTTCACTAATTTGAGCATGGAGTGTGAAACATAGCCAATTTTAAATTTTCCTTGTAATAAGCAAAGTGTTTGTTTTAATATTGAATTCTAGCCTTGCTCCTAGAGAGGTTTTACCTTCCATAAATAGAAACTGAGCAAGCTGTCTCTCTGTCACTAGCCAATCCCTGTCTCAGTATCAGTGAATTGGAATGTGGGGATTCCCAAAAATTACCTACATGTTATGCATTATTTAAGCAACTCCCTCTAAATCTCTGAGGCATTCATTGTGTTTCCAATGCAGTGTTTATTTCTACTGATGACAGTAATTTGACATCATCAAATTAACTTCCACAGTCTTGTCATTTATTGCCAGAAGTAGATATAGGGTTGGAGTAATATATTGGCCAGAGTCAGCCCAAGTTCAGTTGTTCTAATACAAGCAACTCCTTTCTGGTCACTGGAGCATTATGTTTGAGCCTGTTTTCTATTCAGTCAGATTATTCTTCATTTAATATCCTTTTTGGGGAGAATATCCTTTTATTCCTTTTGAATTTTGTGTTATATGCATGATTTACTTATTTTTCTAAAGTGGCTACTTTTTTTAAGTGTTATGAAATATTTATACATATATATGCTTGTATATTCATATCATTTTTGAAATCAGTATTGCTGTTAAGAGGAGCTTAATGAATTTCTTTTTTAATTTTCATTTTGAAATCACTGCAAATTCACAAGAAATTGCACAGACAGTCCAGAGGGGTTCTGTGTACAGTCCGCCCACTGTCCTCCATTGGCTACATTGTAGGTGACTACAGCATAGCACAAAAAACCAGAATTTGAGTGGCGTGATGGGTCGGGACCACTTTGGCTCCTCCCTCGGCCATGTCTGCAAGTGTTGGGCGTCCTCAGCTCCGCTTCCCAAGTGGGCTGATGAGGCTTGTTCCGCAGGTGTCCAAGCAGGCCAAAGAGTTTCTGGAGTACGTGTTCGAGGAGCCGCTGATCGACGTGGGCCGTGAGAACCCTCTGCTCTACCAGCACGCGCCTGCCCTGGCCGCTGTTGCGCGCCTGCGGCAGCGGCTACGCTCACTCCGGGCTTACCTGTTCAGCTGCCGCGCGGCTGTGGCCGAGGACCTGCGCCGCAGGTGAGTCCGCTGCCCTGATAGGAGGGGTGGAGGGGTCCCAGGCCGACCCAGGCTCGGAGCCCAAGCGGCACCGCTTGCCTCTTGGCTCGGCTCATACTCTTCCTTCCAGGGCCTCGGTGTGTCTCTGACCGAAGGCTTAGCCCAGGGATTTTGCTCAGGCTGGTGAAGCCTTCTCTTCCCCATGTGCTAATTTGAGATAATTATCACAGGAGTGTGTCTTCATTGGTCACTTAGGTAGCGTTCATGCTTTTCTCAACTTCAGTTCCTAGTTCTCATCAGCAAAAACGAGCATGTTTGGAATAGTTCATTAAAAACATTTTCAATAGGAAATAAGGAGGTGACTATTCAAAACTTATTTTCCGTACGGAAACACATGTCGAACTTGGTGAACGATACAGTCAGGAGCGCTGGAGTTAAAAGGCCCAGGCCCGGACTCTGCCTTTCATCTTGCCATTGGTGCAGGCTGCTTTCCTATGTCTTGGTTAACTCATAGCTCATCAAACACACAAGGCCAGGCCAGGCTGGGATCCTTAAAGGTGAAGCTGAAATGTGCCTGTGCTCGTGAAATTCCTTCTTTGACACATAGATGTTATAGGCACTTACCATTTCATTTATGAACTAGCGTACACTTGAAATAAAAATTGTTCAGGATGGCATTCATAAGTCCCTGAAAATATCTTTTTTTGAAAAAATAGAAATGACCAGTAACATGCATTAGTCATGTTAAATGTTTTTGGAGGTAAGCATACGTGCTTAAGAACCTCTGGAAAGTATTCAAGGGATGGAGTTTACAATCTGAGATCCAATTAAAGCCAAAACAAAAACCAAAAAAACCTCACCTAACCCCAGGCTTCTGAAGAAGACATTTTAGAAAGAACTAAATGTAGATAGTGAAGGATACATAATATCCAGACCAGCTGTCCTAAAATAATAATGAAAAGGTGGCTGCCATAAAGCAAAATACTCAATGGTATTGCTATTACCTAGCTGTTTTTTGGAAAGCACCAGAAAGTGGTCAGGATCTCGTCTCGTAAAGTCTAGGTAGTCCTTAATTTTAAAAGATTAGGGCTTTCTTTAGAAAGCAATAGAATTCTATGTGTCAAACTAATTTACCAACTAAACTACACACAAGGTTTTTCATGTTCAACGTATGTTTGCTCTGTTACTTTCAGCACTTTCTGGCTCTGCTTAGAGTTTGTTTTTCTTGTGCTTATATTTTTAGATGATACTAAAATCTACACATGGGAAGCGTGTTAGGTATGTGTGTGGTGTACTGTTTTTCTTTGGTCAAAATATGCCAAATCAGGGCACATATTTAGAAGTTAGACAGGAGGTCCTTTCCTCATAGGGATGACTAAGAATCCCTGCTCTCTTCTCGCAGTCTGGTGGTTTACCACCACGGACTGTGCCTTATGGCCAGACCACCAGGAAAGAAATGGACATTCTAGAAAGAAGACACCCCTAAAACTGTGAGGATGATGACAGCAGTCTTTTCTCCCCCTTTCCCTTCGTTTTCCTTTCCTGGACTTGCTCACGGCCGTGGTGTGACGTGGTGCCTGGCCCAGGGTCAGGGTTCAGTTAGTCCTGCGTGGGTCGCTGGAGGGAAGCAAGGAAGGAGGAAGGGATGGATGCGTGCCCAGTGCCACTGCAGACCACGCAGCAACGCCCAGTGGCCCGGTTTTGGGGAAGGGGCCCTCTCCAGAGGATTTTTCTGACTTTCTTATATGTCTCTGAGCATAGTGTCCGGCCCATTGAAAACCCTTGAAAACAGTTGTTGGATGAGTAACAAATGAATGAAAGAGCAAATCAAATTAGTAAAAAAAAATCTATATATAGGCTGGGTGCGGTGGCTCAGCCTGTAATCCCAGTACTTTGGGAGGCTGAGGTGGGAGGATTGCCTGAGCCTGGGCAACTTGGTGAGACCTTGTCTCTGCAATAAATCACAAAAACTAGCTGGGGGTGGTGGTGTGCGTCTGTCGTTCCAGCTACTTGGAAGTGAAGTGGAAGGATCGCCTAAGCCCAGCAGGTCGAGGCTGTGGTGACTGTGTGCACTCCAGCCTGGGCAACAAGGGTGAGACTCTAACTGGAAAAAAAAAATTATATATATATATATTCTGAGATAGCTCTCAAATCTTTCCTCTCCTTTTCACTTGCAACATTCCGCCCTGGTTGAGAATCTCATGGCTATTGCAATATCATTCTAACTAGTCTGTCTAACATTAGCTTTTTCCCTCTTTTTTTTTTTTTTTTTG